GGTCTATTTGGTCGACATATAATTGATTATGCTTTACCATTATTAATACGTTTATTAATAGATCGAACAAAAAAATTATATGATATTATGAATAATCCATCATCTAATATAAATACAAATAATTTAGATCGAACCAATGATGATTTACATTGGTTATTATTAATATGTGGTCATGTAATTACAGAAGAATATGATTCTGATGAACAAAAAACTATACCTGAAGCTGTGATGAATTTTTCTAGTGAACAAGTTAAATACTGTGATTTAAAAAAATGTGTTCAAATAGCTCAACATATTCTTCAACATCCACAATTAGATTTAACTGATGAAATAATTCAAGGTGTTAGTCCTGTTACACAATGGTAAAATTTATCAAATCTTTTATTAAAATAAAATTGATCTTAATTTTATTTATAGTATGGTTGCTGTATTGAAATTATCTGAAATTGAACGAGAACTATGTAGTAAAGGTCGTTTTGAATATATTAGTGTACAAGTTGCTGTTAGTCTTACATGGTTTATTCGACGATTAGCTGCAAATTATTTGGGTTTCGATGAACAATCATATAAAGATGGTAATGCAGATCATATCATAATACTTTAAAAAATTCTATATAGAGAGATTTTCGAAATACTTCGATGAAATGAAAAAATCATTATTTTATAGACAATACTTCAATAGTATCTGCAAAATAAAGTTTTGATTGTCACAACGAAAGATATTCATTTACTATAGCTAGAATCCATTTGTCTGTTATGATTAGAGATGTGTGATATCAGCTTCGGCTCGGATCTCTGTAGCCGGAGCCAAAAACGAAGACTTTACTGCGATCAGAAACGTCTAGTATCACTCATTTCTAATTACGATATGTGTTTTCGATATGCTTAAAAAAGAATTCAATTTCTTAGTACGTCTTATGTGTATAATTTATTTTTGTTTTATAGTTAGTCAAACATTATCAGTATTACTTGGTAAAGGAAGTGAAATGTTAGAATTTTTAACAAATTATTTTCTATCAAAAGTTGTAACAAATTTACAAATGTGGGCATCAGAAAGTGATGTTATTAAAGAAACAGGTTTGTTTTCTAAAAAACAATAATTAAAAATTAATATTCTAATTTTCATCATTTCTTAGCGGATTTATTTGTAACATTATCAATAAAAAAAGAATCATCATTAATAATAATAAAAAATGAATTATTTTGGACATTAGCAAATAATGTTATATCAAATCACATGCCAATACAATTAATTAATGAAGAATATAAACGTTTATTAATTAAAGGTATAACATGTTCATGTTTAAATAATTCGTCGGATGAATATCGTTTACATTTTGATCGTTCCATATTTCAAATTCTTAATCAACGTTTACAATCAATTGTTGAATCAATTCATACATTAGTTGAACAAATTAAATTAAATAATACAAGTAAATTACATTGTACAACTGCATTACAAACATTTTATAGTGAAAATGTTTTAAGTCAAATAAGTACATTAATTAATTCATATTGTGGATTAATTGAAGGTGGTTCACGTTGTTCATCAATACAGATAACATATTTATTTGAACATAGTCAACAAACATTGCAATATATACTTGATTTATTTGATTTTTATCATAATTATAGTGATCAAGTACAAATTATACTTGAATTATTTACTTTATATGCTGAACATGTTTTAGTTTATTTAAATGAAAATCATACAAAATTATTTTATACATATGTATTAAGATTATTACAGATATTTACTAAATGTAATTATGGAAAAAAGACAAAAGAAATCAATGCTGATGAAGATTTTAATGGACATATTTATACATTATTAAATTGTTTAAACCATCTTCTGGCAAAAGATTTTATTGATTTTTCAGATGAACCTTCAACAAATACGTAAGTATTATAACATCATAATAGAATACTGTAGTGTTTTAACTAGTGGGTGAGCACCACCCACCCGAGATTTCGATTTATCTGTACTGTCAGTTCTGAATATATGTACATTGAAATAACCATTGCTATTAATGTGATTAATTATAGAGTAGTCGAGTTTATGAATCTGATTTGATACAGAATTCTACTAGGTAGTGACATTCTTATTTACGAATTCTATTTATTGACAGTGTATGAGTTTCAAATGCTATTTTTTAACGTGTTACTAACTAGAGGTGTGCGGGATCAATCTAGGCCATCCCGAGTTTCGACTTCGAGAAAACTAAGCAAAAATTTATCCATAGCACTTCTAAAATAATTCTTCAATGAGAGTTTTTTTAATTTGTTCAGTTCACGACTAACACTTTTTTGCTCGTTTTTCTTGAATTAAGTTCTGATTTATCAGCTAATCACATTAAAACTATATAAGATTTTACTATATACTTGACTAATGGTCTCCACAGTTTTCTCGAGGCCCATGCTGCAGTATCGATTTCAGCATTGGTCCAGATCCCAGTAAAGTTTGATTTTTTGGTCCCGCACATTTCTACATGTCGAACTTTTTATAAAGCAAAAAGTAACATAAGAGGACATAATAAGTTCATTCATTTCAATTTAAGAAAATCAATATAAATCCGATCTGAAAGTGTGCTAGAAAAGCTTGATTTATGTCTGACACTGCAACTTATAAATCATATGAGCCAAATGTGTCAGTTTATAGAGTATATTAAATATATGTTTTAATTTTCTAGAGAAATTAACGTTGGTAATGTTGTTTTATATGGTTTAATAATTTGTTTACCATTGATTCGATCAGATAATTTATTAAAAATTCCTTCAATTAGTTTATGTTATTATAAACTTGTTTCATCATTATGTGAACAACATTCCGAATGTTTATTTCGTTTACTTGATACAGAACAATTTTCAATATTTTTATCAACAATTAAATTAGGTCTTGATAATTATGATAATGAAATATGTAAAATGTGTTTAGAAACAATTCAAAGTTTAACATTACATATAATAAAACAACCAAAACAATATGAAAATAATGAAAAAAGTAAATATCTTGAACATTTTCTTGATTATCTTTTACAAGAAATTGTAACAACAACAACAACATTATCCGATTTATTTGATACATTAGCTGGAACAATTTATACATTAATATGTGCATATCCAAATCAATTTTATAATTTTCTTGGACAAATGAAACAACAAGATGATAATTTAACATCAATTATTGATCGATTTGTACATGATATTGGACAAAAACATGATTATAATCGAAAAATTAAAATATCATTTACTGTTAAATTTGAAACATTTGTTACAGATCTTAGGCGAATTATGAAAAAATGATTAGAAAAAACGTCGTTTTTTTTTTGTTAAAATTTATTCATTTGTTATATTTTGTTTTGTTGAATAAAAATTCCGTGAAATACGATCTTTTATTTAATAATGATTTATTTCAATGTACAAAAAATTATTTATCTCATTGTTGTTTATTTGTATTTAAAAAAAAATAAGTAATTATAAGACATTCATCTGTTTTAGATATCTAAGTGTTTTATGAATCGATTGCTACTTGTTATTTTTAGTATTTTTCATTATTCATCTCGAATAACAGCATTCAACGGTAATATGGCTTGGAGATCATCGGGCGCATCACATAGAGAATTAATTGAAAATTTATTTAAAAATGGTCTTATTAAAGATCAACATATTAAAGAAGCAATGTTAAGTATTGATCGAGCTGATTTTACTGATCAAAAATCAGATGCATACGAAGATCGTCCTCAATCAAGTAATTTAAATAGCTAATATTTCGTACATTCTTACATTTGTTTTTGTTTTTCGTAGTTGGTTATGCGGTAAGTAAATACGTGTTCATTATGAACGATCACTGACTTTTATTTGTCACAATAAATTTCAGGTAACAATCAGGTAAAATAGTTTTAATAGTTAGAAAACTTCTGGAATCTATTATATAATATATTAGTGCTCCACATATGCATTGTTTTGGATTAGAAATTCTTAAAGATCATTTGAAACCTGGTAAGAATAGGTTTTTTTAAATAATATTTTATTATTTTAATTTTTTTCAGGAGCTAAAGTTCTTGATGTTGGTTCAGGTTCAGGATATTTAACAGCATGTATGGCACGTTTAGTTCGTCCAGGTGGTAAAGCAGTTGGTGTTGAACATATTCAAGAACTTGTTGATAAATCAATAGTTAATTTAAAGAAAAATAATAAAGATTTATTTGATGATGGTAGTCTTGAAATTCATAAAGGTGATGGTCGACAAGGTTATGCTGCTGAAGCACCATATGATGCTATTCATGTTGGTGCAGCTGCACCGGATACTCCACATGAATTAATTCGTCAACTTAAAGTTGGTGGAAGACTTATTTCACCTGTTGGTGGACGTGATCAAGAAATGATAACATATGATAAAAAAGAGGATGGTACATATCATGAACAAAGACATATGGGTGTTATGTATGTTCCATTAACAGATGAAAAAAAACAATATGCAAGTGCTGGAATACGAAAAGATTTATGAATGACATTTTTCTTTATGTATTTGTGTGTGTCTTTTTTATTTTGATTATCTTAATCAAGCTAGTCGAATTTTTTCTATTGTAATATATATTCCAGCTTCTTGTAGATTAATATCATGCTTACTAGACGTGTTCTATCATCATTAATATCAACAAAAGCTTGTCGATCTATTCAAACAAGTGCAATTGTTAATTCCAGTAAACAAGAAAATTCCGAATCATCTTATGATAAATCACTTTATGATTCAACACGAAAAAATTTATATATCACTGGTGAAACACGTGTAATTTGTCAAGGTTTTACTGGTAAACAGGGAACATTTCATTCTCAACAAGCTCTCGATTATGGAACAAAAATGGTTGGTGGTGTTAATCCAAAAAAAGCTGGTACTAAACATATAGGTTTACCAGTATTTAAAAACGTACATGATGCTATGAAAGAAACAGGTGCAACAGCTACTGTTATTTATGTTCCACCACCAGGAGCTGCTGATGCTATTCTTGAAGCTATTGATGCTGGTATTGGTTTAATTGTATGTATTACAGAAGGTATTCCACAACATGATATGGTTAAAGTTAAACATGCACTTGTACGACAAAATAAATCACGTCTTGTTGGACCAAATTGTCCAGGTGTTATTGGTAAGTATTAAAATATTAATTTTAGAAAAATATATATTAATATATTTAGCTCCCGGCAAATGTAAAATTGGAATTATGCCTGGTCATATTCATCGACCTGGTCCAATAGGTATTGTATCACGTAGTGGAACATTAACTTATGAAGCTGTTCATCAAACAACACAAGCTGGTCTTGGTCAATCATTATGTGTTGGTATTGGTGGTGATCCATTTAATGGCACTGATTTTATTGATTGTTTGGATATATTCTTAAATGATTCAGCAACAAAAGGTATTATTCTTATTGGTGAAATTGGTGGTAATGCTGAAGAATCAGCTGCTCAATATCTTAAAGAGAAAAATACTGGTCCAAATGCTAAACCTGTTGTTGCATTTATTGCTGGACAAACAGCTCCACCCGGCCGTCGTATGGGTCATGCTGGCGCTATTATTAGTGGAAAATCCGGTGGTGCTGATGGAAAAATTCAAGCATTAAAAGATGCCAAAGTTACTGTTAGTGATTCGCCAGCTAAAATGGGTCAATTGATGCATAAGTTAATGAAAGGAGAAAAATAACCGTTCAATTAAAAATAGACAATAGATCTCATAGTTTTATGAAAACTTTTATTTTATTTTATTTTAGCCAAAAAAAAAAGAAAAATTCATTGATCGATATTTGTTCTATTCTTATATATATCTATACATTTTTGTTTTGTTTCATTTATGTGCGTGTGGGAGAATAGAACGATTTTGATTTTATTTATGCATACTTTCCTTCCTCCTCTTCCTACAACAAAAGTGGCATTAATAATTAACATATTTTCTTTATCGTCATCATTGATTCGTTGTTATGTACTGTTGTGAATGATGATTAAAAGAAGATACCCTTTCAATAGTGATTTGCTTTTCTTTTCTTTTATTGATTGTGCCATCGTCATCGCGTCTCGTTCCTTTTTTTTCATTATTTCTTGTAAAATGAAAGAAAAAAAAGAAACGAGATAACGTTATAGTTGAAATGAAGGTGAAGCACTTTCGAAAATATTTTGAGACTCTTGAAAACAAGTATTGTAAAAAAAAGGAATTTTTTAAATTCTTCTATTACATGTCTTTACTTATTCACTCGAAAAAAGAAAAAGAAAAATTCCAACTTTTCACCTTACTTTTCTTTTTTATGACTGTTCATTTTTTTTTATAGATCGGTTTAGCATGGCTACGAACAGTACAACATCATCAACATTTGAAAATAAAACTTCCGATAAATCGTCAAAAAATAAAGAAGAACTTTTAAATGAAATTCTAACTTGTGGTATATGTCTATCACGTATGTCATCACCTTGTTGTCTTCCATGTGCACATGCATTTTGTCGTACATGTATAATTAATTATGCTGAAAATAATAATAATGTAAATACTCCTACAGAAATTAATTATATTCGTTGTCCATATTGTAAATTTCAATTAAATTTTTCTTCATTAAAATATTTGGAATCAATATTAATTATTAATCCAACACTTCGACAATTATGTGAAGTACTTGAAACATCAAATTTAAATTCGAATCAAACAAATGGTACATATAATGCACGATGTCATACATGTTGTTCACTTGAAATGCTTAAAGTTTGTAAACATTGTTATTTTATGCTTTGTGATAAATGTCGTCGAATACATTTATTAGATGTTCATCGAGAAAGTAAAATACAATTAGATATACTTGATACACGTTTACGTTTAATTAATGAAAAACGTTCACAAATGGATAAAATAACAGAAGAATATGATAAAATGAGACAACATATAAAAATTTCTAGTAAAAAATTAATACATACAATTGAACAACAATGTAATCAAGCTTTAGAAAGACTTGATGAACAACAAAATTTTAATGATGAAACATTTTGGATAGGTAATGGTTTTGATAATGGAGAAAAATTAGATTTTTTTATTTCATTACTTGATATTGGTAAAAATAAATTATCAAGAAAAAATATAACCGATAGAGATCTGATGGAATTATATGATAATTTACAAACAATTCCTGATGTAAATGAAAAATTAATTGAATCAATGAATTTCAAAGAATTATCTTTAATAGTTGATGATACATTCTTAAAGAAACCATTTATTCGTGTTTATGATAAAGATTTATCAACAATGACAAAAGATATTTCCGAGAAATTAACAACTGATAATGAACAGACAAATTGTATTAAAACATAAATTTTTTCTATTGTTTCTCATTTGTTTTAGTTTTCAAAAAACAACAGATAATATATTAAACAATAAAAATTGACTTAATTATATATTATAGTATAATATTCAGTTTTGTTAATACATAACTTATTTTACTTTCTATTAAAACTTAATGATAAAAAGCGAGAAAAAAATAACTAGAAATCGCGGAGATGGCTTGAAGCAATACTTTATATCTATATGTAAACGCATAGAATAATCATTGGAACTCAAATTAATATAGTAAATAATATACGGTCAGACAACATTCGACGATCTTTCTTTTCGATACAGTTTGCCTTAGCGCTAGTTTTGGCGATGAGTACTACAGTCATATATACTGCTATTGATACGGCTATTTGAGTATGGTTGTTTAATAAATTCATAATAAGAATATGTTCATTTGGATTTACGAAAAAAACAATTTGTGATGCATGCCATGTCTGAAAATGTAAAATGACGATGGATATGTGATCGCTATTGCTTGATCTATTCTTTGTAAGTATAAAAGTATTGATGAAACTTCTCTTAGACAGAGAATGTCATAACTGTTAGTCAATTACGTTACTTTGAAGATGAACCAACAGTTTGTGGATTCTAAAAAGCAGTTTATGTTACTGATGAAAGTATTATGCCTCTGTATTTATAAAAATTTGCTATCGAAGATATACTGATGATTTATTATAACTGTATGCAATACAAATTATGAGAAAAAAAAGATGTAAAATATAATTCTATTATTTCATTTTTATTCGTCATTTAAGTAACACATAAAGAAAAACAAAAAGAATCAATCATTCTTAATTTAGATTATATTTTTTGACGATAAAGAAAAAAATGTCTAAACGGGTTAAAATATTCACTTTTTATTTTTTCAAAAGGAGAACATTTCTGAAGGTAAAAACGTACACAAACTTTGTTTCTTTTTTTAAAAGGTTGATTCTGTTTTTTGCGTAAAAAAACGCCTATATATTCTAATAGTTAATATCAATAATTAAAATAGAATAAGTTCATTGTCATCAACACGTACTCAACTATCAGATAGATACTTATCTACAATAGAATAACTATCAAAATTGATCTAATATATTGTTTCCTCTGGCTTAACTTCCAATATTTTTAGTACTAACATTAAGAATTTTTGTTTTACGTCTTACGATAATCAACCATAGTCTTGAAAAAAAACTATTCTGTTATATATAATGTCGGCAAATAATAATTTATTTTATAATAACATCAATAGTCATTTTAAAAAAATATTTGAAAACTTTTAACGTTTTCTAATCATTAAATGCTCTTGTATAGATCAATATTATTTATATGGCTTTAAAATTGTTCGTTTAATTTATTTATTTAGTTTTTTTACTGAATAATGTCCATTTTTGTTCTTTTACTCTTAATAATCATATGAATAGAGATGTTTTGGTGTTTTTTTTATTAAAATTGTACGTATGTGTCATAATGAATAGATTTCTATTTTAAATTTTATTATTGATTTTATTTTTGTTGCATTAGAAAGAATGTAATTTTATGCAAGAAATGTTTTTGTTTTTCAGGTCAAACTTGTCCTTATATTTCTTTTCTTTTTCTTATTTTATCAATTAAATTGTCTATTATTTTAAAGATTTCGTAAGAGCAATTAATGTTGTTATGTACAAAAGTAAAAAAGAAAAAGGAAAGAGTGAAAACTTTCATTTTTTTGTAAAATAAATTTCGTTACAGTGTGAAACTAACAATACGAGAAATAGTTGCTGAGGTATAGAAATTTAATTATTATTATATTTTGAAATATTAAAAGTCATAAAGAAAAACAACTTCTATTATTATTTATCGTAGGACAAATGACTAGTATTTTAGACGATCAAAACGATCCATTTACTGATCTTGAAAATCGTTTAACAAATCGAAGACCAGTTCAAGATGTAGCTAATGCAAATCCTGGCATGAATGTATTTACTAAGCAAGGACAAACAAAAACTGTACAACTTAAAGCAGAAAATTTTGAATTATTTAATACCAATGAAAAATTAACGGAAGAAAACGGTACATTAGGTACTGGATTAAATAAATTACAAAATAAACATGATAAATTAATGTATTTGGCACGTAATCGTCTTAGTGAAGTACGTACAAAATATCAAAAACTTGAACAAGATAATCAATATTTACGAGAACAATTAGAACGATTAAGAAAAGCTGATGAATCATCAAAAAAATCTGCTGAAGATTATCTAAGTACTGAAGAACGGTAAAATAAAATATCAAAAATCTATTAGTACTATTTTTATGTTATTTAGTTATAAAACAACTGAACGTGAATTACGTACAATGGTTGAAAAATTAAAACGTGATAATGATGATTTAAAAACGAAATATTCTATCAATGAACTTCAAACATTAAAAGAAAATTATATTACTACTAAACAAGCTTTAGAGAATGCAAAACGTGATATGTTTAATATGCAAGATGAAATACAAAAAGCTCAATTTGATCGTGATGCACATCAAAGAGAAGTTGCAAATATGAATGAAAAATACAATGATATGGCAACACTTAAAAGAAGATCAGATCAAAAACTTGAAGTATTAACTGAACAAGTTGAAAAATTACAAACTGGTTTAAAACGGTAGAAAATTAAATCTAACAAAAAAGAAAAGAAATTATTTTTTTTTTCATTTTTTAAGTTCGGAAGGTAATTGTCAATTATTACATGAACGTCTTACAACAGTTAAAAAAGAACGTGATACAATAGATACTGAAACTCGAGGTAAAATAACTACTTTATCACAAAGTGTTAAAGATTTGACAATACAAAATAAAACTTTAATGGAACAATTTCGTGCTCAAAGTAAACAATGTGAACATTTAGATACTGAAAATAAACAATTACTTGAATATGTGGTATGTAAAAAACAATATAGAAAATTTTTTTTATGATAAATTATTATTATTTAGAATGGATATCGAAAAGAAAATGATATTCTTGCTAAACAAATTGTAACTGCTAATTCAAAACAAAAACAATTAGTCTTGGAAATTGAAAAATTTAAATCTGCTGATGCTTCAGTTAAAAATGAAGAAGCTTTAAGAATGCAAAATGCGTTGATGAGTTTAACTGATCAATTAACACAACTGCGTAAATTACATGCAAATACACTTGCTGAAAATCGACAAATCAAAGAATTATTAATTGAAAAAGATTCATCATTAACCAGTTTAGGTTATGAACGTCATCAATTACAAGATAAAGTCGTTAAAAATGAACATACACTTCGACAGATGGAACGAAAACTAGCTGGACATGAAACTAAAATTGATAAACCACCATCAAATACTGAGAAAAAAGCAGCTCCATTAAATACAGCAATTCAATATCAAACAACACCTATTACAAATTCATTTGCGAATGTTGTTATACCATCCTAAATCTATGTGCATATAATTCTAGACACTTCTTCTTCTTCTTTTTTTTCTATATACGCAGAAGAAAAAAAAATGCACTTAACGTAAATGATAATATCATAATAATCATTGAATTTCGTTTCGTTTTTTTTTTGCTGACGAGATATCAATAGACAAAAAAAGAACAGTGACCATGCATGTAAATAGTGACAACGCGCTTCTTCATGGGAGATATGATACAGATAACATGTGCAGAATAAGATAACTAAATAGTATAAAAACTCGCGAAAAGTTATGAATGAATTACAGTTTCTTTCTTATTATTTATAACAAAGGTAAGTTAGAAAAAAAAGATATAGTCAAGGTCTTTCTTATTATAAACATAACATCTTTATTTGAATATAGATGCAATCTATTTCGGTTCTTGCCGTTCTCGCACTTGCTTTTAGCTGCACATTAGCTCTTGATGTTACACTCAATCAACATTGGAAATTATGGAAAGAAGCTCATAGCAAACGTTATTTAGATGCTGAAGAACACGTTCGGTATGAAATATTATTTGAGTATCTAATGTTGTTTATATATATATATATATAATTTTAGTCGTGCTACATGGGAAAGTAACTTAAAAATCGTTCAACAACATAATCTTCAAGCTGATCTTGGTGTACACACACATTGGCTCGGAATGAACAAATATGCTGATATGGTAAGATTTTTACTCTATATATAGTTCAATAAATATGCATATATTATTATTAAAAATAGACCATCAGTGAATTCGTTAAAGTAATGAACGGTTACAATGCTACAATGAAAGGACAACGTGTCCAAGACAGTCATACATTCACATTCAACCCAAGTCTTACCGATTTACCAGATACCGTTGGTATGTATTAAAATGATTAGTTTCTAGGTAAAGTTTTCTATTATATTCTTCTAGATTGGAGAGACAAAGGTTATGTAACTGGTGTTAAAGATCAAGGACAATGCGGTTCATGTTGGGCTTTCTCATCAACTGGTTCACTCGAAGGTCAACACTTCAAAGCAACTGGCAAACTCGTTTCACTCTCCGAACAAAATTTAGTTGATTGTTCAGGTAAACAAGGAAACATGGGTTGCAACGGTGGTTTAATGGATCAAGCTTTCGAATACATCAAAGAAAACATGGGTATTGATACCGAAGATTCATATCCATACAAAGCCGTTGATGATTCATGTCATTTCGATGCCAAAAATGTTGGTGCCACAGATACTGGTTTCACTGATATCACATCAAAAGATGAAAAAGCTCTTCAACAAGCTGTTGCCACTGTTGGCCCAGTTTCAGTTGCCATCGATGCTGGTCATACATCATTTCAATTATACAAACACGGTGGTATGTAATTCTTATAATTAATCATTTTCTTACTATCATCCATATTGATTTATTTAGTCTACAGTGAACCATTATGCTCACAAACCCGACTTGACCATGGTGTTCTTGCTGTTGGTTATGGTGCAGACTCTGGCAAAGATTACTGGCTCGTCAAAAACAGGTAATTAATTTATTCATTTTTTTTCTATATTATTAATTATTATTATTATTAATATTCTAGCTGGGGTGAAGGTTGGGGAGATCAAGGTTATATCAAAATGACACGTAACAAACGCAATCAATGCGGTATTGCCACAGCTGCAAGTTATCCACTTGTTTAAATGATGCAATTTTCTTTTTTTCTTCGTCGTATTTTTTATTTTTTATTGTAATCTAATAACATCATAACAATAAAAATATATGAAAAGCTTTTATATCTATATATCTATCTAATTATGTATTCAGAGAATAACATCAACGCAAAAAATACCCCATGTACATTATTTTTTTCTTCTCCGATAAACAAGTTCTATTGAAATAAATCTAATTGATATTCGAATGGATTATATTAATAATAGTGATCATAAGTAAATGGAATGCATTTATTGAAATGAATCGATTGTCATTTGGAGAAGTAGAATACAAGAACAATTTTTTTTATTATTATTAATGCTCGATACTATCAATAGATTTTTTTTGTTATTTTTGAATGAAAAGAAGAAGAAGAAAAATATCCAGGCGACATATTGTGTTTAATTGCTCTTCGTCGATCATAAACTATTCTTCGATTCAAACCTCAAAAACAAAGAAGATGAAGAATAGGAAATTTTCGATCTCCGGTGTTCATCAAATAAGAATAACAACAGCAAAATAACAATTACGTTATTTATACATATAAATAAGTGTGGATATATCGAACTGCAAATGAACAGACGAAATTTCTAATTAGAAAAAACTAGAATCGTCTTTAAACGCAATGTATTACTTCTATCTTTATTTTTACTATTTATTAGATCATTGAAAATTGAATTAGTAATCTATTTATCTTTATAAACTATTTAAAAAAATAGAAATACAATTATTAATTCAATACGCATATATATATTCGACTAACAGTTGCAATTGTACCATCATAGACAATCATAATGGCTAACAATTGGACATTTAATCAAGATGATTATTCACCATTTGGTTCTGATGAACATATTTATTTAACAGAATATCGTTCACTTGTAATTACAATTGTTTTCTTTTTAATTGGTCTTCTAGGAAATGTTATTATGTTACTTGTTAATGGATATATTCTTCGACATACATATAACGGTGAAAAACGTACATTTGAAAATTTTCTTATTGAAATATCTTGTTTCGATCTATGTGTGCTTCTGTATCATTTAATTAATTCAATAATACGTTATAAAGCATTACCTATTAGTGATACAGATACAATGACTGGTTTAATTAATATATCAACTGTTTGTTGTAAATTATTAACATATATTGTACGTGTATCAACACTTATGTCACACTGGTTAATTATTTTATTATTATTAAATCGATTATTTCTTGTTTATTCAAAATTTTATCGATTAATCACAATTGTCAATGCGAAATATGCTGTGTAAGTATAGAAAAAAAACATAGATTGAGATAAATTAGAATATTTCAGAATTTTTTTCGTTCTTTTAATCTAACGGAAATAACTCAATTGCAATAAATTATTTAGATTTTACAAAAATTCAAGGATGTGTAATGATTCGAATATAATATTTCATTTGTCAATATTGAATAATTTCTTTATTAGATAAAAAAAAGATTATATAAGATTAAATCATTTTGATTTTCTATATTATTAAGTATAATGAGGAATTTCAAGTTTTTCTATATTTTTAGTCTTGGTTTACTCTTTCTATTTACTCTATTCAATGTTCCACCAATTGAATCGATGTCCTATAATGAACCACTTATTTTTACACCAAATTCAACAGAGAATATAACATTTAATCATCATTGTTTAATGAATGCTGAAATGGTTGATTTACATGCATCAATTTATTCAACTGCTGTTATAATCAATGTTTTTTTCTATTCTGGCATTGGTCTTATATTACCAACAATAATTATATTTATTCTTTCAATAATACTTTTTCAAAAAGGAGCACATATTTGGTATGAATTACATTCACATCATTCACCAACAGAAAATATATCATTACGATATAATTCACCAATAGTTGAATATCTTCGTACATATAATTCAGCATTTACACTTGCTATTATATTTGTATTTCTTTCATTACCATGTAAATTACTTCGTTTAATTATTTTATTTGCATCAAATAATCTTGATGAATTAGTTACATCAAATAATATTCTTTTAAAAGCACATGATCAAATGCAAACAATTGGTCATGCATTTGAACTTTCACTTTATTCATATAAATGTATTATTATGATTTGTACAAATTATCGTTTTCGATGTGGATTAAAACATTTATTAAGATATGAAGATACAAATCTTATTATTGATCAACGTCAATCAACACTTGAAAAATATTATAAACAACATAAACATATTTATGAACGTCAATCACGAGCAAGTGTACCATTTGAAGGATTATATAAACATTTACAAACAAATGAATTTGAACCATCAATTAAAATGTACAGAATTGGTGTTACACCTGGATCATATAATTATCGAATAAGTACAACAACACGAGCAAGTATATCTAGTCGACGAACAAAAGAAGATGAAATATCACTTTAACAAAAAAAAAGTTTTTCATTCTATGTCATTAATTATATAATTAAAAATAAATGTTGTATGTAAAATATATTCTTTATAAAAGTTTTGTATAGCAAAACAAACAAGACTATAAGTATATCTATCTTGTATTTAATACTTTTGTGAAGATTATATCTATTAATAAAACTAATTCTTCTGTTGTATGATTAAAACAGTTGTAACATGCACTGAACATATTCAAATACCAGATTGATGAAGTCCATTTTCTATCTTTATCATTAAGTGAAGATAGAATATATATATATATATGCCATGCATTATTATTTTTTTATTGAGAAGTAATCAAATGTCCGTAATGGTAATTATGCGACATATGTGCTATACAAACATCTAACTAATAAAACAACAAGATGGAACCAGTAGTTATTTATGCTAAAGGGTACTTCGGAAAGAAAAGAAATGGTGAAACATTAAATCTCTTTCAATTTTTCATAGAAGAAATAATAATCTTCGTCTAAGTTAATTAAACTAATATATGTTTTTCCTTATGTATATGATTTACAAAAAAAAGAAGAAACAATGTTGAACATTTATAATCGAAATTTTCGTAAAGTTCTGGTCAATGTATGATTACATAGTATTAATATTATAATGATATATGAGTATATTGAACACTAATAGTCTTGTTTGATGCCATAAGTTTCACTTAAACACTTGAAATATTTTTTGAATACGTTTCTCATTTTCATATTGAGTATACATGTTACTATTGAAGAGATCTCTGAACACTGTAATATATTGCTCTATTCTACAAGTAGAGACCTGCATCGGAGCTAACTAAATGTCTTGTCTGCAATTCATATTTTACATTAAATTTTTTTCAAGGTGAAGATATTGTTCTCTGATATTTTCTCTACAAACTGATGTATTTTGAGTGTCCACTCGATGTTTTATTGAGGTTCACGAACACAAAGGAAAGTCGGATCCAAACCTAACTCCGACTTTCTTTTGTGTCCACGAACCTCATTAAAATATGAATTATAGGCAAAAGTTTTAGTTCACTCCGATGCAGGTCTCTACTTAACATATAAGACTACAGTGTAAATTGTACTTATTCTTTTTAGTTTTCAAATATTTGACAGACAACGAGACATAAAGTTTTTTTCTCGGAAGAAAATATCATTTTAAAAGTTTTGATAGACAGTCTTCAGGCGAAACTTTAACTTTTCGTAAATATTGCTTAATTGATACTTATGTTTCTTTTTTCGATTAGGTAAGATGTATAAATGATTTTTCTTCAATCACTACATTATCTTTAATTCATACATTGTTAGAAGTTTAATCGCCTTAAGAAATCTTCTCAACGTTTATATCAATAACAGACAAAAGACAAAAAAGAGTTTATTTCTCCCTCATAATAGATCAGTAGAACAAAACATTATCTGTTTTTGTTAAATTACAAACAAAACCAAAACATTTCACGATAGTTTTTAAATAATACACAACAAAAAAAACCCTGGTTTCTTTTGTTTTATATATGATGTATACCTCATTGAAATATTTATAATGAAAACATGTTTTTTTAACATTTATATGGCATAATCTATTGTTGTTCGTAATAAAAAAAAAACTACATGAAAATGTTTTTAGTATCGAGAACAAATAAGTAAACACGTTCTTTCTTCCTTTGTCTATGTTTAATATTTAAACGGTGAAGACAAGAATATATGTAAAGGGCGGAGGTGGGAATAAAAGATGTACGTTTGAAATTTTACTAACGTTATATAACAACCTTTGTTCTTTCTCTTTTTTCTTTCATACTTCATAATTTTGTCTATATGAAATATTGAGTATGGCATCGACAAATAGTATCTACAGAGTAAAAACATTAAATTTCAATAACTAGAATTAATTAAAAGATGATGAAAATGGATAACAACACTGTACACATAATGGCCTATGCTAATAATGCTACAAGTAATATATATTCAAAGGTTATCTATGATAAGAATAGTTATTAAAGATAGATCAATTGGACTATGTCTTACGTAAATAAAATGCGAGGATACTTAATTATTTTTTTTGATATTAAATTAAGATTTATCGATTATATATTTCTGTTTAGTAACAACAAGATTATTAAAATGTGATCAAACATTAAATTTAACTGAAATAATACAAAATGTATGTAAAAATTTTGTTTTTTCTCTCTTTCTCTCTTATTATTTATTTTAGCTTTATAATTTATATGAAAATATCAATTCAAATATATTTCATAATATTTCAATAATTCATTTCGAGTAAATTATTTTTCATTTTATTTTATTAATTATTTTCTTTTGACATTAGCTGTAATACGATATCAAATAAATATTTCGAACAAATTATAACTTTTACAAAATCAATATCAATTCGTATTCAAATAGCATTCGGTAGAAAATATAATTAATTATATAATAAACAAAAAAAACATCATTCTATTTATTTTAAAGCTTCAGCGTATTTTGATTATATTGCTACTAATCAATATTTACTAAATGGATTTTATATTGAACAAAAAGTACCATTTAATCTTTCATCAATTACATTAAATTACAGTAAGTCAAAAGATATCGAAGCTTATTTTATCTTCGACTAGACATAAGAAAACAAGATTGATTTCTAATTGTTTATCTAGACTATTTAATCTGATACTAAGAAGTGTCATGGCTAAAATCTTATTGGCATCAACATAACGAATGCCAGGATAGAATTTCCTATATAACGTAGTTACCGACAGAGTATACATGGAATCGAATGACACATTCCTTGGTAGTTTGAGAGAAAATTCAAGGGTACAAGTTTTTTCTCAATGTTAAAATATCATTTTGTTTTCTGTCTAATATAACTTACGCCATATCATACGTATGAGAGAACAACTAGACGTTTTAGATTTTGATCTTCTATTGTAATAATGTTAAAAAAATTTATCCATAAATTATTCATCAATACATTTCAAATTAATTTCAATAAATTTTCTCTATACATAGCTGCTAAATCTGATGCTTGTTCGAGTGGTGAAAGAGCTCAAGATCCATTATGTTCATTAAATAATTCAATATCTCAATGTATTAATTTTTTTTCCAATCCCTGGATTTTCAATTGCAGGTTAGAATAGGAAAATAAATAAATATATAAACAACTTTGTCTTTGTTTTTTTTGAAGTATATATTCTACACAATCTATGAATTCTTCAACATTAATTATGCATAATAATACATTAATATCAACATTAATAGCATCAGTTTTAAATTCATGGAAATTTGGTCTTATATGTGCTTTAAGTTTGTATTTTATATGACAAATAAAATCTCAATTGAATTATTTTATTTAGGTATTTTATTTTTCTTAATCTTACTTTGTCTTCCAATTGTATATTTTTATCGACGTTATTCACGTACGAAACATATTGCTTTATCATGTGAATATCTCTTTGATGGTAAAAGAGCAATGGAAATAAGGTATTAGATTCAAAATTTTATTAATAATATTTCTATTTTTTTTGAAATAGTGAAATACCAGGTAGTCATTTATTTCAACATAGTGATAGAATTGTAGAACCAAGACAAAGTAATAATACGACTATTTCTTGGATACATGATGGTAATACGAAAGAAAATTATATTAATTTTAAACTATCGAAACCTTATAGGTAAGATTTATTTATTTTAAATATGTATTAATTTTGAGTTTTTAGGCAGGAAACCTGTTTTGATCATACGACAGTTCATGATTTATTTTTTCTTGGAAAATCTGATATGCATAATGATCATACTAATGTATTAATAGATGAAAATATTCCTCGATCTATATGTAAAACATCAATGAATCAATTGAAACTGAGTACTGGTAATATATATATATATATGTCTTGTAATATAATATACATCTTATTCTTTAAGTTTTCACACAAAAAGATGAATTGAACGAACATATATTTGATAAAACAGATAGAATTACACTAGATCAATCAAATTTAATGAATCAAAAAGAACTAAATGAATCAGAAATGACACAATATATAAATATGTCTTTTACTGATGAAATATTACAAGATGAAGATGCTTGGATGTCTATATTAGCTGTAGCTAATGCTGAAGTAAAAAATTGATCTATACGTATAAAAATATATATACATTTAATTTTAGCTTGATTTACTCAATCGATTGGAAAATGAACAGAATCTAACGATAACTATTAATTGAATAAAAAATGTTTTTTAAAATAAATATTTGTACGATTTTTATGAATAAATATTTCGAACTTATATTATTTCTCAATCCAGACATCAAAACAAATTATATACGCTAAATTATTTCTAACTAAATAAGATATTACAGACTGATTATGTTATCTTTAATAGGTTTTGTGCGGTTTATTGTATTGATATAAAACCTTGGACATGTCTTATTTTGTCATAATTGGATATAACATCAATTATTGTATTAAGCTATACAATTTTTTTTATATTATTTCTATTGTATATTACTTGAAAATTTAGCTTCAAGATAAAAGAAATTCAATGAATTTAATCATATGTAATATAATAAAATAAAAACTGATTTTGAAATAAGTGCAAAAATGAAATAGTACGATCAGAAGGTCAAGTTTATCCGATTCTTTATGTAAAAACCACATGTAAATCTGAATAATATTATATAAAATCAATTACAGATGAACGCTCTATCTAGTTATGTATAAAAAGTGCAGTTTACATATGCAAACAATTCAAATTCTCGGTCATGATCAATAAAGCATATTATATGAAAAAAATTCTCAGAAAATATGCTAAGATTTCAGTTAGTAATACTATTGAAACAAAGACGAACAGATGAAAAACTTCTTGCAAATGATTTTAGTTATTTTCTCAAAATTATCAACCACATGAAACTGTTAATAGTTCATAGAGTAAACTAAAGAAATTCGGAAATTTTGTATATATATATGTTAAACTAAACAAAGCAATGGGGGATAATATAAATAATCAATGCATTCTTTCTTTTCCCTATTCTTGATAAGTCAAACTACAATTATCCTTGTCTCATTAAAGTAATATTAATGGACCATTAGGAATGTCTTACATATGTATATATATATATATATAATGTTAGAATATATTCTTATTTAATTTTTAATATGCGCGTTTTGACACGCGCGTTCGAGAGAAATTATTCAAAATGTATGGTTCGGTTAAACACACAAACTGAATTTGCTGTAATTATATTTCAAATATCGATTGTCTTTTTCTATTCGGTTCAAAAGCAAAATAAATCGGTGATTAAATGTTCGTATATATGTATATACATATATACGTTAAAGAAGAACGAACAAATTTATCGACTGTCTATTCTACATAGATTTTGTTCGTTTCGTTGTGATTTTCATTCATTCAGTTTAAGAATTAACACGAATTGGTGATGATGATGGATTACGTAAATAAACATATGTACTTGATGAGTGTTTTGGTGGTTGTTGTTTATGATTAGATGTTGTTAGATCAGGTTGATATAAAGGTCGTTTAAACATAGGAATGTGTTCATTTTCTAATGATGATCGATTAGGTCGATTTAATTCATCTACTATCGATATATGAATTGATGCTCCATGTGTTTGTTTTGGTATTGCCGATGATATTGTTGTTGATAATAATGATGATGATGTTGGTGGTGGATTTATTAATCTATGTATATGTGAAGATGATATTGGTGACTTATTAAATGTTGGTGGATGACGACTTAATTTGAAAGACTTTGTTGATGATGAAGAAATTTTATCAAGTAATGAAGTAGTATGATCATTTGTAGATTTATTATCAGATTTAGTTGATGGTGCAGTTGACTTTGATAAAACTAAATCATTTTCATCATCACATGTATGATTAAATAAGTCGGATAATACAGGAAATATTTTATGACAACGATGACATGTGCGTAACTTATCATTATCGCTTGATAAACCTCCTATATGAAAGAGAAAAAAAAACAAACCATTTTATTTTTTTATATAATACTCATCAATCATTCTATACAAACAAATGTAACAAAAAAGGAATAGGATTACCAATCATCAAAAAATCTACTTACTTTTTTTAGATAATTATCATTGTTAATGATGAGGCAAGCAAGCATATTATATAAATTACTACCTACTATCAAGTGTTTTTTCTATAATAAGATACGATACACTATCATGATATAATGAGGAATAAATATATATATATATATATATATATATATAGGGATATAAATATATATATATATATATTTATATAAATTATAAACAACCCTAAACCATGTCTATATCTATTTAATTACTATCAAAATAAGCAAGTGATGTGTAGCAAAAAAATAATAAAGTAAATGTAAAAAAGAAAAACAAAGGTTGCATGCAACTACGTAGCAGTATTAGATCGTTTTACATTATTACCGAAGGATGATTTTGATGAAGGTTGATTTTCATCGTAGAGACATTTGGATAATGGATTATAATAACGTTTGTTTTCAGTTGGTTGTCGATTTAGTCGATTTTGTTTACAAATTTCTTCATGATCAAGATATTCATTTAAACGAATATTTTCCTGACAATAAGAACATTTTGTTGTATAAACTTTTTCTTGATCGGGACGATGACGACATATAGCTTCATGTTTTAAAAGATTTTCTATTGGTGTTATTTGATGAAAACAATATTGACATGCTTCGAATTTTTGTTTATTAGTAGTAGTAGTAGTAGGAGTAGTTTTATTATCATATGCATGTCGACGAAAATGATGATCATTCGTTGTTGTTGTTGTTGGTTTTGCTTCTTGATATATAAAATGTTCGTCAATATCTTCATCATCACTATCCTTAGAATTAAAATGTGATGATGACATTGATGTTCGTTTCATTTCATATCTATGTTTTGACGTTGGTGTAACATGATTAACTGGTATTCTTGTACGATTTGTTGATGGTGTTGTTGTTGTTGTTGTTGTTGTTGTCCGTTGTTGTGGTTGTTGTGATGCATTATGTAAACGAGCTGATGAACGATGCCAGAAGAAATCATCTTTTAAGAATTGATCAAATATTGATCGTGTTAACATTTCAAACATTGAAAATGGATCACTTTCAAATGGTCTATTATGATGCCATTTGGATCGAGTTTTTCTACGAAAATGTCTTTGACTAGAATGAAATGTTGATAGAATTGGATCGAAATGATCTGAATCTGTTTCATCATCATCTGATGAACCAAAGTTTGTATCAAAAAATGAAAAATTTGGTGAATGCATTTTACTAGTAAAATAAGCATGACGTTGATGTAAATTAAAAAATGGATCATGACAACGAAATCGAGATGAATTATTATTATTTGTTGATGTAAAATGTGATTGACTGGATGTATGAAATGATGGTTCATATCTGCGATGTTGTGATGATGATGACGATGATGTAAATTTTATATTTGTTGTTTGTTGTTGTAAATCATATGCTCGACGTTTATCTGCATCACCTAATGTCTCATATGCTTTATTTATTTCTTTAAAAATTTCTTCAGCTGTTGATGATGAATTTTTATCTGGATGATATTGAAGAGCTTTTTTCCGATAAGCTTTTCTTATTTCATCATCTGTTGCTGTTGCTTTAATGCCTAATGTGGCATAACAATCGCTAGCTACCATTTGTTCAAATACTTACTATGACTTTACCAAGAAAAATAATCACATTTATTCATCTGAATAAAATAAACGAGTTAATTTGATTAGCATCAATAGAATAACATGTATTAATCAAAACAGAAACATATCGAAAAACGTAAATACTTACTCGAGGTTTTTATGTATTGAAGAAGGCTCATTGATCAATATACACAAGGTGAGAAAAAGAAGAAATCAAAAATGAGTGAGAACGAAAAAGAAAAAAAAAGAAACCACTAGTATAAAGAAACGAAATAGAAGACATAGACATATACACTTAAATACGTTGCACACTTATAAATCACTTTAGTACTCATCTAATGCTTGCAATACGAAAACCAAGGCTCGTAAATAGTCATCGAATAACAACATCATTATCAAGATCATGTTTATGCATAGGAACCCAAAAGAAAACGATGATATGACTCCATACTATTTTTTTAATAAACAAATAATGATACTTTCAAGAAGATAGATGCTACTAAGATACAGTATGTAACATGAAACGATAGAAAAGAAAAGAATAGTAGTACCGTTATAAAACAATAATGTACTCTAGTGGAAAATGGGCAAAAGAGAAAGTGACAAAAAGCCTACGGCAACCGAAGAGAAAAAAAAGTGTGTCTATAATATAATAGACATTTTACACAATGACATAGACCAAAGAAACTAAAATATAGTAGACAGTCGAGGTTTTTTATCGTACTACATACGTTTCTGTTATCTTTCAATGAACTTCTGGTTTTTTCTTTTCTTAACTACTATTCCCGTTCTCTTTTTCGTTTCCATCCGACATTTGAGGTCAATCAAGTAATGTCCGTCCTCGACTAATACTAACGACGGATGGGTGACATTCCCTTCTTCCTTCTATAACCAATTTTCTATACAACTGCTGATGCAATATGCGCAAATAAATGAAGAGCAATATATCAAAAAAGGCGGAATATATATATATATATATATATATACTTATTTTGTTCTCTTCTTCTTTTTCTCTACCCTCTCCCTCTCTACCTCTCTCTCTCCCGTTCTCGGTATATGATTATTACATAATCATTATACATTTTTACACGCGTATGCGCAGCTGGAAATTTGACTAAAGTACTACAACATCAAACATCTTAAAAGTAAAGAGCATGGTATAGAAGAATATTAATCGATCTATATGAAACATGTATTATATCATCGATGAAGTTAAAATGAACAACTTACACTTGGGCCAAACACAAATGAGAAAAATTTCCTTTACTTGCTATAAATAACCATTTTTCAATCTAACATTATGGTGTTGTTCTCCTCTCTCTCGTCTTGCTGGTTCTCTACATGTTGTTTCGACTAAGGTCGAGCAAATGAATGAATGAATGAATGAATGAATGAATGACAAAAAAACAAGGCTTTTTCTCTCTTCAAACGGTACGATGTAGTCATAAAAAAAAATGAGAAAAGAAAAAAAACCATCTAGACAGTTTCATCAAACGACGCATCTGTTGTTGTTTGATTAGAATGAATAAATAAATTTCTCTATTGCTATTTCTTTTGAATGATGAACACATAACCGTAAAATAATGATGGTTAAAACAGAAAACTATCAAGTTTTCTTTTTTTTTCTTTAAACGATTCGATGAGGATTCTCATTTTATTTATTTATACATCCATTAACTCTATTGAAGTAAAGAAAAACGAACAAATCAACTATACTTGCTTTTTTTCTTTATAAAGAAGTCTAGAAAATAATTATTCAAGTGTTGACATAAAGTGTGTATCAATATTTGTGAATTATCAATATTCGGAGACTATTGTTTGATCTCATTTGTAAACAATGCACCGACTCGTCGTTGTTCTAACACTTTTTATTGAATAATAACATTAATAAATAATTCTATTCATTAGAGAAATAAAAAGAAAAAAAGATATTTTAATATATTTTATCCAAGGATATAGATATTTATCGAATAATCAAGAGATTTGTTTGTCTTTGAATACCCAACAAAAAAAAACAATTTCTTATCATTTATATTTATATATATAAACTTAAATTCCTTGACCTTCAAAGTGACGACATCTATAGAGTAAAATATGAACTTTTAGTGTATCATATAATAAATTAATTTAATCTCGAAATAATTTTTCGAATGTTTTTCTTATTTTCTAAATTTAATCTGATTAATCAATCTACAAACCATTTGATATATTTTTTTACCTATGACCTGTTTAATCATAGAAAGGACGAAACGTTTTGAGAGGCATTAGTCATTCCATAATGTCGGATGACATTTTTTGTCGTCATGCTCTTTCCTGTTTCGTTCTTAAAAAAAAAACGTGAATAAAAAGCCACATTTATCCTACATCCTTATTTCAGATCTATTTTTTATATTATTTAAATATATGTCATGGAACAGTGTACTATTCATATATCTGTTTATCATTGTTATTCTATGAAATAATGGTTGAACCCGAACAAAAAGGTGCATAAAAAGAAAACTAAATAGAAAAGAAAAAATTTAATATATTTATTTATAAATTTAGATAATGCAAACAATCTTGAAGATACAGTTCGCAATCTTCGAGAAGAAAATGCTAAATTATTACAATTACTACGTTCTCGTAAATATTTTTCCTCATTGAAATCAACAAAAGAAAAAAACAAACATATTTCAATATTTTTTTTTTTTATTTTTATTTTAGAAGGACTTTTATTTGATCAAGTCGATGAAAAATCAAATGAATTATCAAATATAACATTCGATAATTCTGATATAAATTTAACAACAAATTCTATCAATACAACAAATCAAATAACTCATCAACATGTCAATAATCATGGTCCAATAAATCAACAAAATTATTCCGGTCAAATTATTCATGGTAATCAATCAAATATTACACCTAATTTTAATACAGTTATTCAAACAACAAGTCAACCATTTGTACAAAATAATTCGAATACACTTGTACAAAATAATACCAATTTAATACAACCAATAAATTTAGTCAATTTTAATAATGTTAGTTTAGATTCTTTACATTCATTTTTTGCTTCACAAAATAATCTCGTATATTTGTCTCAAACATCTTCATCATCATCAACAACAACAACAACGACAACGACAACATCAAATATAAATGTTAATAATGAATCTGAACAACATCAACAAATATCAATTCGACCAAAACCATCTATTATTCCACAACATCAAGAAATAACATCTGTTTTACCAAAAATTAATGAAAATATATCCAGACAATTATCATCATCATCAACATCAACAAATAGTGAAACAACTAACTTACTTGATAATGATTTAAATCATAAACAACCAAGACCTATTCGACCTAAACCATCGTCCAGGACTAATTCTATACAGGTAATTGTAATTGACATTAGTCGAAGGTTTGAAAAACAGTATTGATTGCAATTAAAATTTGATGTTTTTACCTTGAGTAAAAGCGTATACTACACAGATCATATCTTAAGGTTACATTTCATAACATGATTTCATGTTTGCAAGATCGTTGAGTTCATTTTAAAACTGTTTTTCTTATATTTGTAAATAATGTATAGAATAGTAATAGATCTTTGAAGAACTTACCATACATACATATTGATTGAAAAAGATAATTTTAATATTGAGAATTATTATTTTATCATACTAACACGATAGAGCAAAAGTTTGTTTTATCATGTTGTACTAAGAGTCAAAGATTTTATCCAATTTCTAATGATTCATTCATATGTTGTTTTGCTAAAAACAAAACATGTTTTTTGTATGTACTAATCAAAATGTACTAATAAGTATAGCTTGCAAGAAATTAGAATATAATTTGTTCAATTATATATGAAATAAATAAAAATTATTTTCTATTATAATGCATATCTTTAGTTATTAATAGTACCTTGTTTTTGTCAGAATTTATTTATTGATTGAGATCTATTGTTAATTATTGAATATTAAATCTAATCATAGTTTATTTTGAGAAAACAATTATAAAAAAACATGTGACAAGATATGTTTTTTACTTCAAAAAGTTTGACTTGTCCGATAAATTTTTTAAACTGGATATGATTTATACTCTAACTAAGAATGTCAGAATTATGTATGAATGAATATAAGATAAATATTGCTATAATGATGATAAAATTAAGCACATGAAAATTGATATAGACAATACTAAGATTCTTTTTGTATCTGTTGTATGTTTGCGTTTTTGTTCGGATGTTTTATGAAGATGATTATTGTTATTCGAATAATTACTTTTTCGCATATGTTATCGAAGAAAAAGAAATAGTCTGTTTCTGTCTTGTACAGTTAATAGATATTACAGATTATCGGTTATTGCTTTTCTGTTTCAGTACTTGTCTTACATATATCTCAACTAAAAACTATTAGAAACGTTAAAGTTTATTCTTCAATTGATATTTTAATTTTAAAAATTTTTCTTATTTTTTTTTAAAGAACTATGCTCCTGTTGTTCTCAATGAAACTAAATTACTGACTAACAATGTTCTTACACCATCATCATTAATTAATAATACGAATACATCATCAACTGTATCATTACTATCACCATCAACATCTTTCGATGAACATCATCATGTAGATCTATCGCCTCAATTAATGCAATCAAAATCAGTTGATTTATCTGTTCCACTAACAAATAATCTTTTAAGTTCAACAAAAAAACCGATACGTAATCGTAAGAAACCTCCAATACCAGCAACAACAACAACATCATCATTATTATCGTCATCATCTGTAACTCTTCCACCAACTAATCAATCATTAATTCCTATTGCTCCAAATCCCGGTCGACCATTAGCACCAGCTCCATTAAATGTTCAACGTGTTGTAACAACAAATAAACGTTCGACAACAACCACAGCATCAAATAAAAAACGTAATTCAAAAACAGTTACACATTGTCATAGTGATAGTATAATAAATCCTTCACCAACAAATTCGTTTGCTGAATCTATATCCGGTTTAATGCAAAATTTTGATCAAGAATTATTAGCATCAAATTTTCTATCACAATCAGCATTACCACCACCTCCAACAACAAATATTCTTTCAAATGATTCATCATCAAATATAAATCTAATTCGAACATTAGATAATATTGATGTTAGACAAATTGTTAATACAACAATTCAACGTACAGAGTCATCTTATCAATCAATGCCAACATTTGATGAATTTAATGATGGACTTGATACTGAAACAAATCAAACAATACATGATTATAATGTTGATAATGAACAAATAACATCGTTTATGAATGAAGAAGATATGCGTTTTGTTGAAATGAATTTTGATGAAAATACATTTTTAAAACAATTCGATTTAGATGATGCAGGAATTAAATTAAATGTTAATTCTGAACAAAATATTTTTGCTAGTCTATTAACAAATAATCATCATTTAAATAATCCAATTGAACAATCAAGTTCACCATTACCATTACCACAACCACCACCACCTCCTATTTATCCAGGATCATCATTAATTAATAATAATGTTTTTACAACTGTTGTTCCATTGGGTTTACAACAACAATCATCATATAATAATAATAATATATTTACTCATAAGAATACATCAGCATGTTTACCTGAAGAAGGTGTTCAATTAACGTAAGTTTTAAAAAAATACAACTATTATTCTATATATCTATATAAGAATTCACTAGATTTATATCGAGAATTTTTAGTAATCATTGATGAGATTAATTTGAGTCTTATAAAGTCTGCTAAGTTATCCAATCAATTTGAAGTTTATAAAAGGAAAAATGTACTTTTCTTTTAGTGTAATAATTTCTGATATTTAATTTATTAAAACAGTTTTAATTTTACACTTTTTAAAAAGTTCAAGACAGCATCGTTTTTTCATCCTGAAATTAAGAAATAAAATTCTAATTTTTCTTAATATTTATTTAAATATTTTCTAGTGCTCGCCATATTGAACCAAGTCAAGTAGCAACTTATGAATCAGTAAAATATCAAGATATTCTTGACGATTTAGTCACTGTAACCGATCAAGATGTCTTAAGCCATGTTCAAGCTGCTGCTGCTGCAAATGATACGACCGTTATTTCAACTGATTTTTCTTTTGCTTTAATTGAAGCAACGAATGAAATAATAAAAACTGAAATACAAGATGTAGAAGAAACAGCATCAACATTTGTTGATTTACGATATTTTTATCCAATTGAACAAGAACAAGAAATGTTACAAAAACAATTAGAGCAATGCGAACATAAAGAAGAACCTCAATCAACTCTTATTCATGAAGAAAAATTTGAAAGTGAAATGAATTCATCAGCAGAATCACCAAAATCGGATGAAGATTCAGCAATAACTGATCTTGCATCAATCATACAAATCAATCAAATACATTTATCATCTCCTGTTAAAGAAACAACACCATCTATTGATTATGATGCCTTTCTTCTTCCTCCTCCAGCTCCAGCTCCAGCTCCAGCTCTACCACCACCACCACCACCACCACCACAGGCACCATCACTACCACCTCCACTACCATTACCATCATCACTACCACCACCACCACCATCACCGGTACCGTCATCATTACTACCACCACCATCACCGTTATCATCATCGCTACCGCTACCACCACCACCACCACCACCATCACAACCGGTAGCATCAACGACAACAACATCAATGGAATTTTCATCTTCATTTGATCAAAATTCTCGAAAAGCATGTATTATATTCGAACCGATCTTATCTCCAATGAATTCTCCATCTCCAGCAAATCCTCCACCTCTAATGAATCCTCCATCTCCAATGAATGCTTCATCTCCAATGAATTCTTTACGTTTAACAAATATGGCATCTCCAATGCATCCTCCATCTTCGATTAATTCTTTACCGTTAATGAATTCGCCATCTCTAATACATCCTTCATCTCCAACAAATCTTACATCTCCAATGAAAATCTCAGATAATGAACTCGTTCTTGATTCTGGTTGTTTAATAACTTCATCTGTTGAAAAATCGAATGCTTTAAATACTAATGATATTGAAGAATTATTAAATGATACTGTCGATAATCCATATGAAATTATTGAGAATCAAGGTCAATCATTGTCATCGCCTTCTTCTACGAATTTAAATGTTAATAATCTCGATCATTTAATTGATCAAATAGAAGAACCACCCAAAGAAATTTTAGAAAAAAATTTCCTTCATTATCAGCAAATTTATCAAGAAAATCTGAAGAAAAAACCAAAAGAACAGTATTCGCCAATACCATCAGTTAAATTGAAACTTAATTCAATTTATCCAAAGCATAAAAAGAAACGAAAAACATCTCCGTCACCTGTTCCTGTTTGTGAAAACATTCGGCCACCATTGAAGATAAAAATTCGAACAAAACTACCATCACCACCACGGCCGTCATCACCACTTCCTCCTCCTCCTTCTCCTCCAAAAGAAGAACTATCAGTACCGAAATTAAAAATTCGTAAACCAATTAAAAAACCTAAGCGTAAAAAATCTTCAATAGAAGATGATTTAGATCGTGAAGCAAAGCTTTCCTTAAAAACTGAATATGCTGGTTTAACACGTTTTGAACAATCATTAGCCCAATTATATCGTCAACAATCATCGCCAGATACTCGAATTCCGCCAACACCTGGAGAGAATGAAGACTTAACAACTCGTCCTAATAAACAAGATACACCACCAATACATGAAATGAAACATAATTCAATAAAATCACCAGAAAATTCACGTAAAAAAATATCACATTTATTAAACTATGATGATGAACCATTGAATAATAATACATTTATAACACCACCACCAGAGATTGAAGCAAATATTCAACATCAAAAAATTTCGAATGATTATCAACGAAGTCCAAAGAAAGTTAAAAAATCGAAGCAAAGTTCTGTAAATAATCACAAAGAACATTATTCATCATCAAGAAAATCAGAACATTTTCCACCACCACCACCACCACCGCCACCACCATCACAGCAACAACAACAGCAGCATCACCACCAGCAGCAACATCAGCAGCAGCAGCAGCAACAACAACAACAACAACCGTCACCAATGCATATTGATCCATATGCACAACCTTATCATCATTTTGATGCTAGAACTGCACCATTTTTTAATTTTCCGTTTCCAAATCCATTTATGAATCCACATCCAGCACCACCATCCAATCATTTTCATCCTAATTCAATGAAATATCATTATCCAACGCCTGGTTATCCAACACATCAACAACCATTTTCTTATCATCCACATTTACAACGACAACAACAGTATAATAGCTCTAATTATATGTGTAAGTTTTAATAAACTATTTAGATAGATATTAGTGAGTTGTAAATATCATACAAGAAATATAAGCTTGAATAGGTACTCACCTTTTCTAATGAGATCTTTGTTTTTAATCTGATTGTTCCCTTCTATCATGCATTCATATATTTTAAAAATTATTTTTTTTCATAAGTTTTCTAATATATTTCTTTTTCTCTTTTAGCTTCTCGGAATCATCATTCATTCAACAGATAGCATCTTTTTTTTTCCTTTCATTTTGTTTCGATTATTTTTCAAACAAAAAGAAATTAACGTCATCTTGACAATCGATATGCGCAGATATTTCAGAGTGTATGTCTGTTCCAGTGACTTCTGTTCGAATTTTCTTTTTTTTCTTCTGTTTTCTTTGATATATATATATAATGTATTAATAATCTTTGTCGATAGCCACAATGAACTATAAATATTAAATAACAAAAGTATGTGTATTATTATTTGCATTTTTTTTTTCGAAATGTAATTTGTTTATCTATCGGTATTAATTAATTAATTAATTACGGAAGTATTTTTGTTTGACATGTATTCAAATTCTTTGTGTTTTCGTTTGTTTTTTTGTACTTCTGAGCAACGATGACAATTTATATGTGTGTGTTTCTTTTTGTGTACAGTTGAGATATTTTGTCTCGTTATTTATATTTCGGTTATGTATTTAATAAAAAATACGACGTGTGTATAGAATGTACGCATATATATTGCAAAGTATTTCTGATCTTTATTCTCGTTCGAATGTATCTTTTTAGTCTTGTTTAAAAAATCAAAAAAAAAGATTATGTGCTAGTCCTTCTGTTTCTTTTTCTTGTTTCATTGTATACATAACTATAAAATTTGTGTTTTGTTTTTTTTCTAATTCACTTTAAATGTATATCGTACAGTGCCTATTGTTTTCCTTTCTTTTTTTGTTTGTTTGTAATAATAGACCAGCTGTCTCTCTTATTTAAACGATGAATCTCAGTACTGAATCAAATAATTAATTAATGATGATGACGATGATGATGATGATTATAATGATGATGATGACATAGAACTTCCTAAACGAGTTGTTTATATTCTAATCTTTGTACAAAAGAACATTGTTTTTGTTTTTTTTCTGATCATAATTATGTTTGTATTTTGTTCTCTTCATATAGATTCTTTTTTTTTCTTCGTTTGTTTTCTTTTTGTTTGTTCGATATATGCGCGCGCGTGTAAGTTTGTACTAAGCCGTTGAGCTCAAACAATAAAAATCTCAATTTGGACAAATCAATATAAGATTATATTGAAATCATTTAATTTTTGTCGCAAATATGGAAGTTTTTGTTTCGATATTTTTCGTTGATTAAGAATGTCTCTGAACATGCAAAGTATCGTGTAACGATGCAGTATCAAAATGTTGTCTATTCCAACAGTTCGAAGTTATAGCAGCAGAAGAAATTAGATATTTGATTATTTTTCGATTTCCTTCTGCTCATTTCATTAGTTTTTTCATCATTAGATTTCTTGCTCAGTTTCCTACAAATTGTACACAAACAAGAATCGAAACTTATTGAAATATTGATTACTTTTTTTCTATCATTGCCTCTACAAACTGCGTGTATTAAATGTGATAATTTTATAATTATTTTTAATGTGAAAATCGATGTTACAATTTGAATAGCTATTTCTGGTATGAGATCATCTGATACTCTTATACTATAAACGACACGTTATTGTACACTCCTTCATTGATTAGTAACATGAAACAACGAGCCGACAATCTCACAGGTTTGTGAGCAGAGAACCGATTTCGTCTCATCTTCATTCTCTTGAGAATAAATCAGAAAGATATCGTATAATAAATTAATAGAAAAAGAAGACAACAGTGCACGATCAGACAAGCAACATGAGATATATGTCACTACAAAGAGCATACTTAAACGTATATTCAATTATTTTTAACCGTGAATGTCTCATATATCTTTTTATTACAGAAATTCTCTAATTCATCTAGAAGTACCTCTTTATTATTTAATTATGTATTTATGTTCATTAATTGGATAAATCTTTTGATTTCATTGAACATTTTAAATTTGATTTATTTATCATGTATTGTTACAAAAATTAGAACTATATGAATAATACTAAAGCATTCATTGTTAATATAAAAAGTTAGTCAAGTATATATAATTCAGTTTTATGCTTTATTGTGCTTTTGGCTTTAATTGTTCTTTATACAATCTTTTTTCTTATAGAAATCACTACATCTCGTTAATTGAAAATACTTCAGTGATAGAATGACATTGACACAATAGGCAATAAAAACTCGATTTATTAAATAGCAAAAGAGGGAAGTAAAGGCAACAGAGACACCAATGATATGTGAACATGTTTTGTTGTTCTGTTTTAATTTATGAATTTTAAATAAGTTATTTTAATGGAATAATAATACTAATAAGAATGCAAAACCAGAAAATATGAAAATAAGAGTATTTTCTTAATGTAGCGGAAGATTTCTCATGTGTTACTGAGGAAGAAGGACCGTGAATAACACATCGTTCTAAATGAACACAAAAAAAAATATTGAAATAAAATAGTAAAAAAAAAGAAAAAATTTTACCAAATTCTTCTAATAAAACAGGAACATATTGTTCCCAAAATGCACAATAATCGGCACGATGAGCAATGTCAGTTGATTTATTCATAGTATCAAGTACAATATGTGCACGTTGTGGATACGTATAAAGTGGCCAATCATTAATAACGGTATTTACTTCACCATTTGGATTTCTATTTTTTTTAATTATAGTTAATTCTCAAAATAAATTTTATTAACTTACCCATATTTAGAAAAATTCGACCAATAACCCATCATTCTTCTAGCTAATTGAATTTCTTCATATTTATATAATTTACTATCAGTTGCATTAAGTGGTTCTCCGAATACAAACATAATTTCATCTCTAATTAAGAAAAAAAAAGAAAATTGAATAAAAAAATTTTTTGTAATTAAAATTTTTTTTTTTACCCATGCATAACACCTGTCCATGCATGCCAATCACTAGTTGATGGTCTTGCAACAAAATGATAAAAATAAATTGGCATATTTTGCATTGCATAAGCATTAGCAACACTGACAGTTGGACATGTAAAATGTGCATCACCAATTGCATAACTTAATACAACAGCATTACGAACATTATTCGACCAATCTGACCAATCAGTATATCTTTGTACTAATGATTGATATACTATACGTGGAGTTTTATATGGATATGAAGGTATATAATTATAATAAAGTTCGAGATGTTTTATAAATGTTGCATAATTTACATCAGGCATAGCATTACCTGGAGTTTTATCATTACCTTGAGCGTAAACCATAAAATAAGAACCTTCATCACGATTTGCACCTAACAGGAGGGGACATTTCTATGAATATATATACATACATATAAATAATTAATGAAAAATTTAAAAAAACAAAATCATACTTTAAAGTTGCCTGTTTTAAGCATTGTAACTGGATTTTGTGGTAGAAATGTTCCATCAATAACGGGCATAAGAAGGAAAAACATTGGACCACCATCTGTAATAGTATACTCAGCATTTGTTATATAAGCATAATGATCTTCATCCATAATTGGATAGTTTAATGCACATTCAAACATAACATCAAGATTTTCAACATTTTGTCCACGTTTACAAACTTCAGGAATTTTGTCACGTTCATGACGAAATTGTTCATCGGATAAACGTTTTGTAACAAGTGAATAAAATTCATTTAAATATTTTTGTGAACGTCTACGTCCTTCGTCGGCAGTTATAAATGCCCAATTACATGTTGGTCCTCCACTTTGTAAAATAGCATTTGAAAATAAAGATCGACTACGTGGTGATAATAAATGAAAACCAACAGATACAGCACCAGCCGATTCACCAAATAAAGTTATTCGTTGACTATCGCCACCAAAATAACCTATATTATGATGTATCCATTCTAATGCAAGAGCTTGATCATATAAACCTTGATTACCTTTATAAAGAAAAACAAAAACAAATATGAATAAAATATATTTTAATTATTAATGTCTTTTACCAGGTGCATCTGGTCTATCAAGAAATAGAAAACCAAAACTTTGCAAACGATATTGCATAGAAACAACAATAATATTGTTTGTTGCTGCTAATATTCTTCCATCATAAAGATCTAATGCACTTGAACCAGTTACAAATGCACCACCATAAATCCAAGCAAGTACAGCCATGGGTTCTTTTGTATGAGTACTAGTTACAGGTACCCAAATATTTAAATAGAGACAATCTTCACTACAATCTGTGCTTGGTGACCAAATTTTTTCTGCTTCAAGATTATAAACAATTGATTCTGTTTGCCAACAAGTTGCTGGAAAATGTGTTGTATTAAGTATACCGGACCATGGTTCAACACGTTCTGGTGCTTTAAAACGACGTGAACCAATAGGTGGTTTAGCAAAGGGAATGCCAAGCCAAGCACGAACATGATGAAGACGTGGTGAATCAGCAGTACGAAAATATGCATCAATACCACGAACACGACCCGTATTTGTTGAACGTATAAGTGGATCAATGGTTGTAGAAAAGGATAAGGATAAATTAAAAATAAACATAATTAAAATGGTTATTATTCGAAGAAACATGATTGTCAACGGTGTTTAGCATATCGTCATTCGACGTTTGTCGTTGAAACACTCGACAAAGTGTCATCGAATGACAATTGCATCGACGCTTGACTTCAATATAGTGTTGATAGCAACGGTCGATGATAACGATAATGTAATAGGACGGCTGAGTTAGTAGTAATGGAATAATATAATTAGAGAGTAATGGCAATAATGTTACTTGTCGTAGTGTGTGTAGTTTTTTTATAAGTAACGCATGATCATAACACCATTTGTTATACATTGATACTGACGTCGATAGGAGCACATTGACAATGTGTCGTGATACTAAAAATAACTTGACTAATAAATTTAAAAGAAAAACGACAACAAATTAATAAGAACTTTTAAATACTTATAATTTTAATATTCTTATGAAACTGTTTCTCGAGCACGCTAATCAATATCGGTAGAAAAATCCTAGATAAGAAAAAAAAAGAAAATATTATATGAAACTGAAATGTTTATTCCGAGCAATTATTCCACGCACCTGATTTCTCAACAAGAGAGTGCATCAAGAAAAATTTAAGTATTTAAATGTCTATGTATTCAATTGCATGGTGGAAGTGTTAGAGAGAGAGAAGGAGAAGAAGAGAGAGAGAGAGTAAGTCAATGTTTTAACGGTACCGATAGAAGCAACAATAGTTACAAGAAGAACGGATGAAGAGAACGGAATTGAATAAGAGTGGCTCTTTCCGCTTTTGGTAAGAGCAAATAACAAGAGACTTCGTTTCTTATTCTCTATCTTCTTCCTTTAAGCGCTCATGCTTATGTTCAATTATGCACCTAGACATTCTACATTCGCATTAGCACAATATAAGATATAATAATGTAAAAAAAAAAGAACTAAACAAGCCTTTGATATTACCTAGGAAATTATCTTTTATAAAATCACACTATCATCATCATCATCACTTTTAGTTCTTCTTTATTTTATTGCTAATAATTTGGTTCGCGTTGTCCTCTTTACGGTCATGTAAGTCGAATTTTTATTACTGATGATGCGATGATGATATTTCCTTTTCGGAGAAGAGATCTCTCTTTCTCTCACTCTTATCTATCGCCGTCATCATCGTCTTTCTTTTTCTAGTTGATTGCATTTTCCTTCATTTCTCATACGATTTGTTGTTATGCTCGCATTCTCTCGCTAGTCGACTCGTCCCCTCTTATATTATGTTATTGAAAAAAAAAAGAAAAGAAAAGATTTCATGTTGTCTTTCTGCTTACGACTGATCGTTATATACTCAAACAAATGGAAGATCGAATACGAGCGAATGAGCATACAACTAAAATAAATATAAGTATATAGTTATTATATAAAATACAGTCATTAGGAAATACTATTTGACATCTCGACAAAATAGGAGTGCAAAAAATTATTTATTATTAAAAAAAAAAGTCTTTTCTAAAGTAAAAAAAAATAAAGAAAAAAAATATGTTAGTGGTCTTCATTGCCGTAGGGGCTCAAACGGACGACATCGACAAACATACATCCGGCAAGAGAACTATTTATTATATGTATGTTAACGAAGCGACAATGATGGCCCGAAAGAAATTATGTTTTCTATACCCTTGAAATCCAACTAATTGATTCAAGGTTGATTTTATTCAAAAAATAAACAAAAGGATAAGTAAAAAAACTAATATACATTTTTTCTTATGATCGTGCCTTGTCAATTGATGACTTTTTTTTCTTCTTCTTAATATGAGTAAGTTTATGCATATTAATCGTCTTTATTCAATATCTATTATATTTACAAGAGATGATCGATTGCATATATTTATAATAAAATTCAATGATTGCTTTACATCGAAATAAAATATAGATATATTATTATTATTATTATTAAATATTAAATAAAAAATCATTTCCGAGATCGGTTTATATTAATGTATTTAGTGAAAAAAAAAATTTTTTTTCTCCGCATCTAAGCCAGTAGAGGAAAGAAAAATATAGATTCGTCTGACTATATTAAATTACAATAAGAGGTAATTAATGATGGAAAAATTCTTGTTTACACCACTAATATTTGAAGCTAAAACTGTACTTTACAAATACTCTAGATGCAACTAACAGCCGAATATGTGTTCGAACAACAAATGAATTCTATTGGTATATTCTCAAAGGATATAAATCATATTTCGAATTCTATAAACGATATATTTCATAATAAATGATTCTTCTAACCATGTTCAATATCGATAAAATAGAGAAAAGTAATTTCATAAATTGATAAGTAATATATTTCAAAGATATTACCGAGATTGTCTGTCATTTAAAATTAATATCATCAATATATACTAGTAGAAAAATGCAGAGATCATTATATTTGCCATTGACAAGAAAAAAAAAGACATTTATTTTAAAATCAAAAATGAAACATGCAGCTGATGATGAAACTCTTCAAACAAATATTTTCGATGCATTTTATAAAAATAAACTAATGCAAGGCAAACTAGATGAACAGCAACGGTTATATTATATGGAATATGTTAAAAATATGAAAAATAATAATTTAAATGTACAAATAAATAAAGCATTATTATATACATGGAAAAAAGAAAGTTATATTCGACAATTAATAAAAAATTTACAAGAATATGAAAGAAAACGTATTGGTTTTCATGATATTTTTTATGAAAGCCAATTAAATAGTTTAAAACATATTACAACTAATCAACAAAGTCCTGTTATACCATTGACTGAAGAAGCAAATCGTTTAAATATTAATGTAAAATTGCAGCAATTTTTTCAAGATAATCCTGTTCGAATGAAATCATCAAAGTCTATTGTTAAAACGGATAGTAATGATCTAGCAGAATCACCTATAGACTTAAAAGAACAACAACTAAAACTTGCACCATTAAGTCGAAATGGGTCATCAAAAAGTAAATCTTCAATTAAACATCATGAAGAATCAACTACAGATGATACATCAAATGTATCTGTTATAGGAATGTCCGAAAAAAAACGACAATCTATTTTAAAATTAACTCAGTCTGTACCTGTACGCTCGAGATTATTTGGAAATATGGAGCCAGTAGTAGTTGTATCTGAAACATTAGAGAGACAAACTAGACCTGATCTTGTCACAATGCGTAGTGTAAGACGACCACAAAGAGATCCAGCAGATTTAAATCTTATTTTTGAAGTACGAAAACGTATTTATCAAACAAATAAACGTAGTTATGAGAAACAATTATATCATCGAAGATGTGGTTTATAATATACATCACAATTTCATAAACAAATGTTGACTACTTACTATTATGAATAACTTATATTATCTGATATTAATAATGGATAGTTTAATCAATAAATGGTAAAACTTGTTGATGTTACATCAAATATTTATCTTGTTATTACATTTCTTAATTTTGTAAAATATATTTTTGATATTCTAAGTATCATCATCAAATAATTCTTGCAGTTCAATATATTTCATGACATATGTTACTTGTCTATTTTTAATTTGCAAATTGATAAATATAATTCATTGATGGAGTTGTTTTTTCTTTGCATAGTAGATCTATAATAACTATAAAAAAAGTATTCTACTAGTGTTATATTATTTTTAATGTATCAAAAAGAAGCGAAAGAATACTAATGTTTGATTAATCAAAAACTTAAATTGATATGACGTTAGTCTTCTTTTATGAAAAAATATGTGAGGTTGATTTCTTCATGATTGATTAAATAATAAATTTCTATAATTCTCAAGAGAGATAAAATGATGAAATGATTAACTTTTTAGATAACGTTAAACAAATTTTTCATATTTATTTATTTTTTCGATAGAATACTATTCTTATATCATCAAATAGACTTTGTTATATATGACTTAATTGTTTTCTTTTGATGACCTTACATGTAATACTACTAAATACAATTATTCGGATCATATCATTCATCAATAAATTACTTCTAATATGGTACACAATGTTATTTTTACTATGAACAAATGTGTAACTTTTTTTTTGATGACGGCAATAAACATTAAACTATCGAAATAACAAAAAAAATGACTTAGTCCTCTGTGTAAATAAATTCAGGTGACTAATTTTCTATCAATTTAAAAATATTTTTATTTTGTCTTGAAACATACAAAAACTGACATTTGATATGATTAATATAACTCACAAAGAACATTACTTTTCTACCAAACAAAAGTATTATAATTACATAGATAAATCATCCATTGAATGGATATATATCTACAGAAGATTTAAGAATATGTGATCCTTTGTATTTCATAAAATCAAATTGATTGGAATACTTTGATTTCAACTTGAAAAGAACTGTGCAATATTTTCTTATGTTTAGATAAGATTATCAGAAGAAAATAAATCTCTTTTTGTTTCTATGATATATGACCATTTGAAAGATTTTACACTATTTAATTAATTAATTTAGTACTATTTGCTTTCATATATATTGACTGAATAGATTTTCTCATTGTCATTTCGTAGTAGATAATATGATTTTTTTTATAATTCTAAGCGATGCTTTTTGATCAGTAATGAGCTATTAATATTTTTTCAATCAGAAAAGGAAAATTTATTTCAAATAAAAAAACTACTCTTAAAATTTAGATTCAATGACATCACCAGCATTAACTCTATTTTCTGCAGTTAGGAGTACAGGATTACCATTATAATTGGTGATGTACGTATGTAACCGATCAAAGCTATAACGGCAAAAAGAAAAGCAGCCGTGACGAATAGTATAATAGAAAGAGAGAACAAACCCAGGTCGAACAATCCGGTACGGAAACGGCCGGCTCCGTGGTATTACGGACATTTCATGGAATCCTGCTTCTGGAACCATCGTCCTAGGAACAAGATCACCTTCTGCCAATGAACGAAAAACACCAGCAGACATAATACAAAAACTACAACCGTTAGTTTCCATTTTAGTTCGTCGCTGAATATGTTTGTTAACAGGCCGACTACAAAAGTTGCATATAGAGTTGCTATTGTTTTTAGCCATTTATTACCTGCAATATAGAAAAAACAGATGACATTGTAATAATAACCTTATTTTCAGTTCTAATTTCAGCAAACATTTCAGCAGAATTTTACTCTAAGCAAGCAAATTAGCATACAACTATACATACCTACTCTATTCTATTTTATCAGAACTGGTATCTAGCCAGATCGATCATTCGGACTATCTAAAACATCACCTTATAGGAAATGGGTGTGGGTGTGAGAATGTCATGCATTTAGTAGTCATATCCACACCCACGAATATATTCCAGCTCGTTCAGCCAACAAAGATGATATAAACAACAATTAAATTGGACAAGGCTAGAATTCTAAAACAAATTCGAACTTTAGTTAACATTTTATCGGATTTTATCTGACTATCTTGCTGATCTAATAGATGTTGTAATGTTTCAAATGATTTAGAATAATTATCATATCAATGGTAGAGTGTGGGTGTGACTGAGGAATGAATAGAATACCTACGCCCGCCCACTCACCCGCTCGAAGAGTGAAAATATATCGAGAGGAAAGAAACAAGAAACAGAAAGTGGAGGAGACAAAGATCACAAACTAGTGAAATAGACAAAAGGGGTGTCATTCAAAAGGATGTCCGCCATTTTTCTTGGCACATTTATCACCTACCACTTCTGAATATGCCCGTCACCATTTGTTTGACCCAGCTCAATAGCTCTATTACTATCATCTAATGCATCTGAAAGCAAACAAATATTTGATTCAATATTACAATTAGTAAAAAGATTACTTTGATAATGTTTTGCTAATAAATAAATACCAGCGCGCTCCTACAATAAAACAGGTCCCTCACGATTATCATCCTGGCGAATCGCACGATCAATAAGAACTGTATACATCTACGAACAAAAACAATTCAACAATTTAGTTCAAAAATATTAGATAGACAAAAATTCCCTACTTCGATTGCTTCATTGAACTTTCTGTAAGATACTAACTGTAAAATCTTTGATTTTGACTCCTCGGTTGATTGTTCCCTTAAAAATCTGATAATCTTCACTTTTTTTTGTGAATTAACAAGAAATCTAGAAGAGAAAAGAGCAAGGGTGTGGATGGGTGTGGGTGTGGGTGTAACTGAGGAATGGATAGAATACCTACGCCCACCCACCCATACGCTCAAAGAATGAAAATGTATCGAGAGGAAAGAAACAGAAAGTGGAGAAGACAAAGATCACAAATTACTGAAATAGACAAAAGGGGTGTGATTCAAAAGGATGTCCGCCATTTGTCTTGGCACATTTATCACCTACCACGTCTGAATATGTCCATATATGTTTCCTTGATCTAACTCAATAGCACGATTACTATCTACTAATGCATCTGAAAGCAAACAAATATTTGATTCAATATTACAATTAGTAAAAAGATTACTTTGATAATGTTTTGCTAATAAATAAATTCCAGTCCGTTCGGCCAACAAAGATGATCCTTCAGTATTATTTTTTTGGGTGGTAGCAAATTCAATCAGTCACGAATATATCTAGAAACAAAAAGAATACAACAGTTTAGTTCAAAAATATACACAAACTAAAATTCCTTACATCGACAGCTTCCTTAAATTTGCTATGCGATACTAAATGCAAAATCTTTACTTTTGACTCCTGCATTGATTGTTCCATTGGAAATTTGATAATTAAAATTTTTATGTGAATTAACAAGAAATCTAGAAAAAAAAGAACAAAATTATACTAGTAAATTAATCATGTTTTATTTATTGAACTAGCAAACGACATGACATGAAAGAAGATAATTGATGTAGAGATAAATGTCTCATTAGCATCGTAATAGAGTTCTATTATTACTTTATCATTAATATTCCTTTTCTACTGTGCACACATGCATAACTATAATATTATTACAATCCATATGCTACTGTCAAAATTGCTACTGTTTTAAACAATCAATAATTAAACTAAGTTACTCTTTAACTTAAGCATTTTTTTCAGTAGTAACCGACCTAATCATCAATTGCGATGACTTTTTTTTATAGTAATATATCGTTAAAACAAACGAAGAATCAATAACTAGAAGACTAATAAACATACTACGCTGATGGGAAAACTTATTGAAAATATATTCATTTGATGAGGCTTTGCACTCTAAATAAAATAGGTGATCTACTGAACTCCCAAAAAAAGGTTTCGTCGTGACGAAAAAGGCTCCAAACATGTTCCAAGTTTGAAAAACACAATAAAAAATTCTACAAAACTATTAAAAGATCTTCCCGTGTGTCGGAAGGAAGAACCTTCGCCTACGAAACCTTTTTTTAAGTTCAGGACACCAAAAAAAGGTTTCGTAGAAAAATACGAAGCTTTTATGGTTTCGTATTAAACTACACAAGAAACTTAGGGTTTAGTACGAAACTATTAGGGTTTCAAATGAAACTCTAAAGGTTTCGTATTTCTCAACGAAACCTTTTTTTGGTGTCCTGAACTTAAAAAAAGGTTTCGTAGGTGAAGGTTCTTCCTCCCGACACACGGGAAGATCTTTTAATAGTTTCGTAGAATTTTTTATTGTGTTTTTCAAACTTGGAACATGTTTGGAGACTTTTTTGTTACGACGAAACCTTTTTTGGGGGTTCAGTAGACCACCTATTTTATTTAGAGTGTGCAACATTGTTTATTTTCGAGAAATATTAAGTACTTGCTGTTCTTCGACTCAATTTTACAATCAAAAACTTTGAGCGAGCTTATTTAGCAAGCATATTCAAGTATCATATCCTACTTCACCTCATACATCACAAGAGGGAGATATTGATAGTTATCATAATCAGTATGTTATCTCGTAGAGCAAGAAAAACTACGCTGATTTATTTAAAGAAATCGTGTATGTTTTAATTAATATCCAAAACATTCAAAAATGATAATAGGTTTTCCAAACACTTTAATGTTTGAGAAAATTTTTTTAATCAAAAAAACAATAAAATTATTGTACTCAGATGTGGGTGTAAGTTTAAGTGGATGCTTTGTCTTCTCTCGCTCACATTCACATCCATCCACTCACACCCACCCACACCTACTCACACCCACCCACACCCACACCCACACCCACACCCACACCTACACCTACACCTACACCCACACCCCGGAACCGGAACCGGCGGAACCGAAAAAATATTTTTAATGGTAGCTAAAACACTATTCAGATACAACATAATTTTGTTTTCTTTTGGAACATATTGCTCTTTTAATGAAATAATAAACGT